ATCACTGAGTCGGGGGTACATGGATCAGAGACCGGCTCATTCATGTCCGGGGTCATCGGGCGTCGTAGGGATTCCGTGATTGCTGCCATCTTCGGACCAGGGAGCTCTTGGTCGTCAGTGTTATGGGGTCCATCTGCCGCCTCCTCGGATCTTTCCTGGGGCACAGGGGTTGCCTGGCTATCGTTGGATCCTTGGGACTCGCGCTTTCGGTGCTCGGAGTTTTCCTTGGACAGCTGAGAGGCCTGGGAGTCGTCAGTAGCAGGCTTGTCTCCCAAATCCTTGACGGAGGAGTCAAGGGACGGGAGGGTTTCATCGTATTTGGGTATGTCGTAGAGGTCATCATCGTGCTCTTCTCGTTTGATCACCACGTCGGAGTCCGAGTCTTCATAATCGTCGTCAACGTCATTATCGTTCTCAAGAGATGGAATGGGAACGTCTGGATCATAATTCATGTAATGGTGGGGACTGGATGCGATCATAGACTCGTCCTCATCATATGGGTCGTCCAGGAAGCTATCGCTTCTGCGGAGGTCTTTCAAGATGGAGTCTCTGGAGATTCGAGGCATAGCAATATCGAGTTCATCGGTATCATACTCCTCCACATCCTTAGCCTCATCCTTGTTCTGGTCCTCCGTGGCACCGTGGTCGGCCACGTCGGATGGCTTGACATGTTCTGATTCGTCAGTAATGTGCTCCTGCTCCTGCTTGGCCCGTTCATCCTTGCCGATCATCATCAAACGCAGTCTGTCCTCTAAAGACATGGATGCACGGCTCAATTCACTAATGTCCGACTTTGTACATGATGCAGGAGCCGGGGGAGAAGGAAGAACTCTTTTACCACCACTTCCCAACTCGAACGCTGCTGCTAATCTTCCAGGTGAGGAAGAGTGAGGAGTGACAGGTTGACGACCCGCGCCAGGCAGGGGAGGCAGAGGACGACGCTCTCCGTTTGAATCCAATGACTCCACACGAGAATGCTGGAGAGGCAATTTTTGCTGTGAGGGAGTCGTGGGGCCGGGACTGTGGGATTCGTCATCCTCTGTGAATGGATCATCATCCTCCTTCACGAGCTCGTCGTTTGCGGTGGAAGGACTCATATAGCGCCAATCCTCGGGGAGTACAACGGGGGTCTTTTCAAGGTCCTCCAAAGAGGCATCGAAGCTGTCGTCGCGGTCAAGCGAGGACTCGCGATCGAAACTGACATCACCCTCATCCTCTTCAGAGTCGTAGCTTCCGTCGCGAGACTCCGAGGCGATTGACGAAGGATCTGGAGTAGTCATCTCGTACTCATTGACCTGAGGAGGAGCAGCATCGAAGGTCACGCTCTTAGGGTACCGATTACCAACGCTGTCGAAATCCGACCAGATCTCGCTCTCAGGATCGAAGCCTGTCCCTTTGACGCCAAATCGACTGGCACGAGACAAGGAGGATTTGGCTGGAGATACCTGGTCCTTGCTTGGTGATGGAGGTCGGGGTCCTGGTTGGCAGTCATCGCGATTCTGCGACTGCTGAGGAGACGAGTTGCTTTGAGGCTGTTTCTGCGGCGATCTACTCGTCGCCAATGGTCGTTGTGGAACATATACACTGGCAGGATCGTACTCTTGGTTACGTTCACGCAGCATGTTGCTGTTTTTCACTCGAGATGCGCGCTTGAGATTTTCCAGGGATGGGCGCTTGGATGCCGAATATGGTGAGTCTGGATCATATGGGGCCTGGTTCTCGGAACTTCTTGGGAAAGGCGAGCCTGATTCACGGCCTTGCCAGAAGAGGCGTGGTGAGGAGGAAACCTCGAAGCTCGAGGCATCACTGTTTCTCATGGTCTGCACAATCATACGTTAGGTTTTCTCCCAAATACTGCGCATAAAGACACTTACTTTAGTGTTTTGATTCCACACTGGTGAGTTACGTCTCTGAGCCACTGGGCTTACTTCGGATAGAGGGCGCTGAGCCGAGCCACTACCCATTCTGAGAGAAGACAATGATCACCCAAAAACGGCAGATAGCACAAAGAGCAACCGAGGGGAATAAAGAAAATTCCAACGCTGTAGTTCATGTATCAGCAGATGTCATGTTTTGACAAAGAGCATAACAAAGGAATGGCCCGTGCAACCCCGGGATATATCCCTTGCAAGAAGAACGCGCCCATACCTTATTCTGATAAACAACAACAAATGACGAATGGCGCTTCGATAACCAACAAAAAGGTGATGGACTAACTTTGAGGATATTGTTCATACAAGTCGTGGCAGATTCGTCACAAAGGGATATTCATCAAAAGATCGCCAATTTTGTACCTGGTTGTGGAGCGAAAGAATACTGCTGCTTCGATAACGAGGAGATATAGAAATCCAGATGAGCAGAGATCGTCAACGGATCGGGATGTGGGACAGATGGATTGATAAGTGACAGGATACCACCACACATCCACCGTGCAAAGAGAAAGGATAAAAAGACAACAACAACACGAGGGTAGACAAGCACCAAAAAGCAAAGAAAAACAAGCACGAGGAGGATCTGTCGATGACAGAAGAGAGGAGAGGAGAATTAACTATGAATGAAGCAGGATAAGTAAGCCGGGGTGGATCAGGAACAAGCAAGGCATCTGTGCCTGTTGCAGTTGCAGAGGGCAGCAGATGTTGACATTTTGAAGCGGCGGGTGTCTCCATAGCAACTGTTGCGGCCTGGCCGCCTGAGAGCCTTATGGCCTTGTTTCCAAGGTTCGGCCTCCGATCCTCCTAGGCCTATTTGGGGTTAGCCTGGTTTCGGGGCTGGCCAAGCCGCAAATTTCCAGGAAAGTTTCAATCCACTCATTAGATATCAATATCTTCAGCAAGCTTTTTTGCAGGAGCACTCGGTCTTGTCGACTCACCGTCACAATGAATCGACTAGGCAGACTACCTCTGCCTCTGCCTCCTTCAGTATGTCTATTTTGTCAGTCTCGCGCAACGACGCCGCTTCCGCCGTCGTTGCAGGCCACCCGTTCAATGGCCACCGCTCGACTCCGCCGCAGAGTCGCTCGGATGACTCTATCGCCAGATGTCGCCAAACCATCTGTGGTGAAGAAAACTCGAGGTGACAAGGAACGGTTTGGGCCATTTGCCGGGATGAATCAGACAGAAGCACGAATTCGCGACAAACCGAGAACAAGGTCTCGAGCAGCTCAGAAACGCTCTGGAGAGCCCGAGGAGGATTCCCAGAAGGAAAGCCCGTTGTATAAGGCATTGAAGATGCAAACAGCATTGGCGCCTATCCCGTACGGTCGTCGCGCAGCCATCAAGGCCAAGATTGCCGATATAACGAGCTTCGATCAATTTCAGCTCCTGCCTGTCGTACGCAATTCGATTTCTTCCCAAGCTTTGCCCGGTTTGGTCGACGTGACGCCGACACCCATTCAGCGTCTTGCCATCCCGAGACTTTTAGAGGAGCCAAAGACGGAGAAGAAACCAACGAAAGCAGACGATGACGAGCCTCAGTACGATCAATACCTTCTCGCAGCAGAGACGGGGTCGGGCAAGACACTGGCGTATCTACTTCCAGTTGTGGACGCTGTCAAGCGTGAAGAAGCCCGGGACAAGGAACTAGAGAAGAAGGAGCAGGAAGAGAAAGCTAGGGAGAGAGAAGAGAAGCTGAAGAACAGAGCTTTTGATATCGAACCAGAGATTCCGCCGCTTTCAAATGCGGGCAGGCCAAGGGCGATCATCCTGGTGCCCACATCGGAGTTGGTGGCTCAGGTGGGTGTAAAGGTGAAAGCACTGTCTCACACAGTCAAATATCGATCTGGAATGATATCCTCCAACCTCACACCACGCCGCATCAAGAACACGCTATTCCACCCTGACGGAATCGACATTCTCGTTGCCACCCCCCACCTGCTCGCGTCCATTGCCAAAACAGAGCCCTACGTGCTCAGCCGTGTCAGTCACCTGGTTCTCGACGAGGCAGATTCGCTCTTGGATCGGTCCTTTGCCCCGACAACCACAGAGATCATTAGCAAGGCCGCTCCTTCACTCCGCAAGCTGATTCTTTGCTCCGCCACTATCCCTCGGAGTCTTGATAACCTCTTGCGAAAGCGTTATCCAGACATCAAGCGGCTCACGACGCCTAATCTCCACGCAATTCCTCGTCGCGTCCAGCTGGGTGTGGTGGATATCGAAAAGGATCCATACCGCGGAAACCGCAGCCTGGCATGTGCCGATGTCATCTGGTCGATCGGCAAGGCTGGCGACGCCGAATCAGAGGGTCCTTACGCCTCGTACGTTGCGCCAAAGACCAAGAAGATCCTTGTCTTTGTGAACGAGCGCGAAGAGGCAGACGAGGTGGCTCAATTCCTTCGCTCCAAGGGTATCGACGCGCAGTCTCTCTCGCGGGACTCGGATGCTCGAAAGCAAGAGGAAATTCTCGCCGAATTCACCGAAGCACCACCCCCTCCAACCCCCGATGAAATCTTGCTGGCTCAAAAGCAGCGCCGTCACGAAGACGCGATCCCATTCGAGATGCCCCAGAAGACGAACCAGGATTCGTCCCGCCGCCTGGCCAACACCAAGGTGCTCGTCACGACCGACTTGGCCTCCCGCGGTATTGACACTCTTGCGGTCAAGACCGTCATTCTCTACCACGTCCCGCACACAACCATTGACTTTATCCATCGGCTCGGCCGTCTCGGCCGGATGGGCAAGCGCGGCCGCGGTGTTGTGCTGGTCGGCAAGAAGGACAGAAAGGACGTCGTCAAAGAAGTCCGCGAGGGTATGTTCCGTGGTCAGGCACTGATCTGAGGGACTCATCTCGCCAGGACAAAGTTGTAACATTGTGTTTGTGCATCAATTACTGGAACAGGCAAGGCGTTCGGATATGGATCCCAGGAAAGGAATACCAGGATAGACCATTCGGATCTGGACATATGTATAATACTGTATATCTACAACATCACATCATCCAACTCATCAATGGCATTTTCAAGATCTCATCAACGCAACTCCTAGGCTTAGTGTATATCTTTACTGTCAAACAGGAACCCGCTCCCCAACCGACTCCCAGAAATCACACCTCTCCTTCAAAAACGACACCTCCGCAGTCGCAAACCCATCCGGAGCAATCACCCACTCCTCCCCGGTCTTCTTGAAAACCGGCACTCCCTTCTCCGACGCATTCGTCAACTTATGCGCATTCGGATCGCCCGTCTGGAAGAAACTCCCAAAAGCGCCTGCGAAGCCGTCATAAATCAATGGATCCGTCTGCTGGATCTGGTTCACTCGGTTCCACTATTCTCTGTTAGTATACACTCACACCTTGGGAAGTGATAACGGGGATAGTAAGAGGGGAACAAACATAGATGGTATCGCTCGCGTGCTTAGCCGGCGAAATCGTATATTCACCTAAATAGCCCCTCCGTCTCGCGGCCGAGGCAAGCCAGTACGCCGGACAGGCGAGGACAAGATCCCTGTAGACCAGGCCCGCGCGGACGAGCGTCGTGTTGTACAGGTCGATTGTCTCCGTTTCGCCGGTGGGCGGGTAGTACTTTGATTCGAGGAGGGCGATGTGCTGGGGCAGAAGACCCGGCAGGAAGCCCGTCAGCCAGGTGTGGAAGCTAGCAGCGGAGGAGTTGAACCCAGCGGTTGTGGCGGTCTTGCCCAGGCCGGAGGGGAGGAAGTTCTCGCCCTCGTGGGCGTTGTACATGCCGAAGACGAAGTGAGTTTTGAGTTTGCGGCGGGCGACGGCGGTGGTGAGGGATTCTTGGAGGAACTCGCCGTCGATGACGGGGGCCCAGGTGTAGGAGCTTGTGTTGTAGGTGTGGCTGGCGCTGATGATGAGGTTTGCGTCGCGGATGGTCTGGACGTCGACGGATTTCAGGCAGGCGAGGGAGTCGGTGGCATTGGCGCAGCCGGTGAGGGTGACAAGCTGGTCGTAGATGGCTTCTGCTTCGGGGGCGTCGTAGGCGTAGGTCTTTGGCCAGAAGGGCGAGCTGGCGAGCGCCTTGTCGAAGAGCTTGGGTTGATTGCCCCGTCCGTTGGCGAGAACTTGAGCAACCACGGAGCCGGCGCCGGCGGATTGGCCCCAGATCGTGACGTTGCGAGGGTCGCCGCCGAAGTGGTGGATGTATTTCTGCACCCACTTGAGGACGTACTGCTGGTCCAGGAGGCCGGGGTTGAGATCAGACGTTGGAGAGCGCTTGATCGCCTTGCCTGGAAGAAACCCAAATGCATTGACCCGGTAGTTGGGGTAGATGACCACATAGTCATTCAGCTCGGTGACGTTCAGGATTGGATATGAGGACGGAGGTAGTGCAAACGAAGCGCTGCCTTGGATGAAGCCACCACCGTAGAAGACTACCAGGACTGGTCTAGAAGCAGACGAGGGAGCGACTGTAGCATCCCACGGTCGTGAGAACAGGCCAAGGTAGAGGCAGTCTTCGGAGCCATTGACCGTGCGTTGCGGGCACATGTCAAAATCCTGATCAGTGTCATAGACGCCATGTGTGATCCTTAGAGGTGGCTGAGGGGCTCTAAACCGGTTCTCCCCCGTTGGAGGCGCTGCAAAGGGGATCTTGCGGAAGTATGAGAGATTATACGTAGAGTCATATTTGCCCTGGAACTGCCCATAGTCGAGCTGGACGAGGGGATCTTCGTAGGCGCTGGAGAGCGAGACGGTCAGCAAGAGGACGCAAAGGGCAAATATATACTTCGTTGAGATCGTCATGGCTGACGACAATCTTACCAGGCAATGGCCTAGGATACGACTCCCGTAGGATTCAGAGCATCTCTGCTCACTTATATGGCATCTTGGCGCAGCAGCACACTGGCAGGTTCTCGGTATAAGACACACCGAGATCAGATCTGAAGACCTGGAGGACAAACGAAGGATGATGCCAAGTTCGATGCCAAGGTCGGGGAAAGGGAAACAGAGCCCTTCGCCATTGGTGCAGTTATATTTCCCATTGCGGCGAAGGAATCATGAACAAACGTGGAGTACCGCAAAATGCGGGGAGGCCACTAAAGCAATACCATGCTGACGGTGACTGTAGATTCGAGGCTGTGATATTGTGTCATTGTCCAATAAATTGGATATGTTAGATAACTGCATCTTGTACAGAATAGCGGTATGCAAAAAAAAAAAAAATGAGATCAAATCATGAAAACCATGTCTACAGATGCAATATGCCGTGTCTTGGAGCGCCATCCCCCAGTAAATCCCTGGTCCAACATTGCAATGAAATGTTACCTGCACCAAACACCATTCCCAATTAGTACAGAATGCCAAAAAACAAAAAAAAAAAACAAGAGTCGCCATCGTCACATTGTCATTCGAAGCGAATGAGTGCGGCGCCGGCTCGCACGAGTAGTGCGCCTGTCCTCACAGCCTTCGCTTCCTTCGGTTTCTGTGTGTGGCTCGGATAATTCTGGCGTGGGCGTCACACCGAAACTGACGCCGCGATCTTTACGCGAGATGAGGGCCTCTTCCTCGGGGTAAAGGAAGCGGTGCACCGTCCGATGGTCCATCACTCGTTCTTCATCGTCCGACGGGCCCTCCTTATCAGTTTTAGGCCAGCGGTACCCATACAACATAGAGTGACGCTCGCAGCGAGGGCACTCTCGTCGAGTCAAGTAGGAGTTATGTTGCACAAACCAGGCATTACAAGTGTGGCAGTCAACCCAGCGGTCGTATGTCTGCGCCAAAAGTTTCGAGGTCTTGGTATAATCCCCTGGAACACGGACGAGTTGTGACTCAGCCTCCACCGACTCAACAACAACGGTTTTTCCGCGAGACTTTCTGCCCTGCTTTCTGTTAGAACCAATAGATCCTTGTTTTAATGTGCTAGGCTGGTCTGATAGTACTGATTTTGCGTCTCCCTCAATGCAGCCTGAGCGTAGAGACGTGATCGACAGCTCAGCATTTGTCTCGGATAGGGCGGAAACCTTCTCTGCAGATTTTTCTATGGTTTCTTCCACTTTGATTTTGACGGCAGCATCACACACAGAGGTGGCGATTGTTGATGTTGATGAGCGTTCTGACTCGTTCGCAGCAGTGGACGGAGGAGAATCAGCAGGCGGAGACGGCAGGGCAGCGTCCACGGCCTTGTCATTGTCCGACTCGGCAGTACTGTTACCCAAGGCCCCAATATCAGAACCGTTGGACACGGGGGAAGGACCGGCAGGTTGCTCAATCGACGTAGCAACTTCGAGGAATGACACTTCCGATCTCAATTTGGAACTCTGGCGGACAAATTTGCCTCGTTTGCAAGGAGTGGACGGAGCGGAGGTTTCAATGTCTGAGTCAGGCGCAAATTTGCGTTTCTTAGATGAGACGTGACTGTCGATTGACAGATTATCATCGTTCAGCGCTGGCGTGGACGCCTTACTCTGAGGCCCAGATGGCACATGCGGCGCCCAGCCATTGCGGACCAGTCGTTCGCAGGTAAGACACAGACACTCGCAGTTGTCAATCCCAAAATAGTCGTCTCCGTAGGATACTGTAATCTCCTCGCCAATGTAGATGTCCCGAGTAGCCACGACCTGCATGCCTTCTGATCCACGCGTCACCAATTTTCCGTTCGCATTACAGTCGTGATTGGCAAATCTAGCAGGCCCAAGGAAAAAGGATGGAGTCTTTTTCCTACTGGACATCACAATGCTGAAATCCTTCCGCTTCAGGTCAAGATCCCGCTCTTCTTCACGAGTCATTGGTACAAGAGTTCCGCTCAGATATTTGATTTCCTGTCCTTGCTTGATGAATTTGCGAGCGCAGACCGCAGCCTCATGTTCCGTAATTGTGTAACGATTGGTCGTGGTGATCTCAAACGGGGAGTCGGGCAGGTACATCTGGATATATTTACGCAGATGACGGCGAAACCAATCCTTCTCGCGATCGTTGGGCAACCGGGCCATGAATTTCTTCAGCCCTGACATCGCCAGCAATTCTCGTTCTGCTTTCGCGGGATCCTTTGCGACAATGACATCGTGTAGGAGGATGCGAGCGACATCATCGTCGACAATGCCCCGCATAGGGTTGTATTTGGTTCTATTCTTGCGAGTATTGGTCCAGAAGTAAGCCTGTAGAATTCAAGAGGTCAGTAACGAGTCTGAAACATGCATGGCAGTGAGGGACCACGTACTCGGTCCACCAGCGCATCCGTCGCGATGTCGTCGTAGCTGGCCAGTTTCGCAAGCGTCAGACGGTCGCGACGGTCGACAGACGGGCTGTCTCTTTCCTTTGCGGACGGCATAGCGAAGGCAGTATCAGCAATGTCCCATACGAGAAAGGTCGGCCGCTATGAAATGCTCGATGTCCTGTCAGAGGAGGCCCAAGCGGAAGTGCGGATCTTGAGACCAGGGGGGGTGTATCCGCCAAAGGAGCGTAGATTTAGCAATTCATAAAAACGCAAGGAAAAAGGAGCCCGAATACAAAGGCGTGCACATGGTGGAAAGGCGAGTGGATGCCTCAGAGGAACTAGCGCACATGGAATGGGAGGGGGAAAAGGCCGTCAATAATGCGACATTCACTAGGACAACACTACTTGGCGGCTGCGTTGCCCATGCGATCAAGCGGCAGTATGTGCTGCAGTGCTGCGCTTTTTCCGGGGTCGGCGGTCGGCGAAACCTGCCGGCCCGGACATGGAAATCTTTCGGCCAGCCCAGGCAAGACAGCCCTGACATCGTCAGATACCCCTCCTTAGCGTTGTTTACAGTCAAAATGATTCAATTAAAGGTAAGCGGTATTTCTTTCCAAGGGGTTGACCGTCTTCCCAAAATCTTACTGACGTGGTCGGCAGACGTTGCTCAACTGCATCGACAACTCCGGTGCCGCGGTCGTCGAATGTGTGAATGTCTTGAAGAAGAAGCGGCCGGCCACAGTCGGTGGGTTATGCATCTAATGCGATATCTACGATTGACGACCTTCGATTCTGATATGATTTCAACCGGAAATAGGTGACCGGATAGTGGTTGTAGTTCAGAAACAGCGAAACTTCGGCCCCGAGAGCACGAACAACAGCGGCATCGCGAACAAGGTCCGTCGCGGCGATATCCGACATGCTGTCGTCGTTCGCGCAAAGAAGGAGATGCAGAGACCAGATGGAACTATTGTCAAGTTCGATGACAACGCATGTGTGCTGGTCAACAAGTCGGGTGATCCTATCGGAACCAGAATGAACGGTTAGTCTCCAGGTGGCTCTGAGTTTGGCCTCAGCTACTGACTTACGGTTGCAGGAGTGGTTGCTACAGAATTACGAGGAAAGCAGTGGTCGAAAATTCTGTCCTTGGCGCCTATGCATGTGTAATATACCAATTTGGAAGCGAATCGTTTTATCGTCTCAAAACAAATACTTTGTACCAATAGAAATCCTTTGAAGCATCCGGTTCTTATCGCAGAAATGCCATGACTCCATAACAATGCCGTAAAATCACAAACAGAAGGGTATCCAAAGTTCGGACGCTGCACCGACGAGACAAATCATACAAACACATTACCACACGCGCAGCAGACATAGTAGAGTTTCTTCAATGAAATGACAAAGAGTCAGCAAAATGTGCAGTCAAGTGGCACGGGCAATGTCTCACCATTCCAGTTTCTGCTGATCGCTGTTGAGATTGGAAGAATACTGCTTCCGCTTCACCGCAGCTCGGACAGGGCTTGTTCGATCGGGGAAGCTAAGCAAGAAAAAAAGATCATGTCAGCCACGGAAATTTCAAGCAACAGATCTTGGAATGTTTCCATGACAGGAGGGATGGGCCAGTATGTTTAAATGCTCATGGAATCCTCGGAATCCCAATCAGACAGGGTGTCTTCAGGCAACTGCCCGCAGGTAAAGCAGGTAATCTCTTCCCCGCAATGGGCACAGAAACCAGGGAGACAAACCGTTGGATCAGATCCCACATCCTGGGTCACACCAGCAGTGTCTCCAACTTGGCTGTTCAGCTTGTTCTGGTAAACGCAGTATGAGGTCGCGGGCTCGCCGACGTGGCACGTTCGACACGTGAACATGAGACGGTTGTTGACGCGGTCTTCTTTGGGATAGAGCAAGTTTGAGCTGTTTCAGTGTTAGCTGACTGTAGAGCGGAGATTACGCGAAAGTAGGATATTTCTTACCATTCGCGACAGAAACGGAAATGAATCTGATCGGTTTGCTTGTTATCGCCACTGACGGACGGAGATGGGCTTGAAGACATTTTGTCGGTGTAGGTTGGAGCGCCGCGTACGAAAAGTTTTGCAGTAACAGATAGGATAGACTTTCGAGAGAAGATAAGACGTCGAATTTCGAAGTTTTTTGGAGTACGCTCAAGAAATGTCAAAGCGAGAGATCAAGGCAAAAGATGGATAGAGACCCAGTCAAAGACTTGTGCCTGAATAATCAATTAATGGAAGTTGGAAGAAGCGCTGGGTTGGCGCCTGAGGCGGACCCAAAAGGAGGCTAGACCCAATCGGATGGGACTCAAGCGCGGCTTCGAACCTTAAGTGGGATGTTTGCACTGTTTGCCGCCATCCCTCTTTCTTCCCCCGCAGTTTGTACAGGCGGCTCAAGGTTGCTCGAAGTAAGAAACCGTTGACAGCTTCATCTTACCATTCCAGACACAAATTGAATCTCTCGGCTATTTTGCCTCATATAGCTCTGGCATAGTCATTTGAATATACATCTTATTCACCATGGTCTGCCATGTCCGTCCTTTCCTTAGCTGGTGCATTGGCTGACTAGACATCTTCCACAGGTAGAAACCGGTCTTCCTGCAGGATGGGAGGTTCGCCATTCCAACTCCAAGAACCTTCCTTACTACTTCAATCCCTCGACTAAGGAGTCCCGGTGGGAACCTCCCACCGGCACAGACACCGAGTTGCTGAAGGTCTACATGGCAAACTACCACAGCGCCCCCGCCGTGCGGCCTGATGGCACAGGCCAGGGCGAGGGCAAGATCCGTTGCAGTCACCTCCTGATCAAGCATAGAGACAGCAGGCGGCCAAGCAGCTGGCGAGAGGCGGAGATCACCCGATCGAAGGAGGAAGCGATCGAGATCCTTCGAGGCCACGAACAGCGCATCCGCTCGGGTGGAGTTAGCTTGGGTGATATCGCAGTCTCGGAGTCGGATTGTAGCAGTGCCAGGAAGAAGGGCGACCTGTATGTTACATCCAGAGTCATCGTAGTTCCCTCCTTGGCTATATCCGACACTAATTCTTCACAAGTGGGTTCTTCGGCCGTGGCGAGATGCAAAAGGAATTCGAGGATGCAGCCTTTGCGCTGCAGCCAGGCCAGGTCAGCGGCATTGTTGAGACGGCCTCTGGTGTACACCTTATTGAACGGTGAGTATTTGCCTGTTCTGCGGGGAATGAAGGAACGTAAAGCTGATAACTATCCCAAAACAGTGTCCAGTAATGTTTGTTCGAATTTAAACTGTTTCTAGAGTTTCAAAAAATTATACATTTCTATTCAGGCTCAATCTACCTCTATGCACAGGCTCCATACCTTACCGACTGCAGTACCTGTCATAAAGCTAGAGGTCCATTGGCCTCCTAGTTGTATACATCTCCCTCTAAACTCTGTCAGCATGAAGTATTCCCAGTTCTTCTGCGCATGGAATTCTTCATGAACTTTACCGAGTAAGTGGCCGGGGTCTACATAACCGATACTATCTTTAATTCTGGTATGGTATGCAGCTTGCTGTCACTTTGCGGAGGCTTCTATAAGGAAATCCTGGGCCGATGTCAATCTATCGTACAAAACCGCCTGGGCTCTTGTATTGTGACTCATTCAGTCCATAGACCAGGACCAGTCCAAGCCATCAGTCGATATGCTTTCAGTACTTTCTGCCCTTGAGCAAAGACAATCCCTCCATCAAATGCTATGGATCATCGTCACGTGCCCAGATAGCCCTATCCCATCGCTATATCAATAGAAGAGTCGCCGAAGATAAGACCAGGAACAATGTATTGTCTCAAATTGTGAATGAGAGGAAATGATCATAGTTCTAATTATCAATTGCGCTCCTTGACATCTCTTTTTCACTTGCTATTTGGGCGAACTAGCCCTCTTTTGTGGTCAACGAATCACTTTTGAGACTCTCCAACCATACTAGGGTGCTCTGATCATGCGTGTGCCCAGCGTACTCTCGAAGCCAAAAGCTCATTCCAGGGGCTCTAGGTTATAGAAAGCGGAAGAGATCGTAAATCTTGCTTCGTCCTCAACATTCTCAATTCATCTCCAATCCCAGTTTCCAAAAACGCTCCAAATCCATCGAAATATCTCTCACAAACATATACTTCAACCACAAGACCCTTTTGTTGGTTGTTGCCTTGCCCTTGGAATAGGTAGTCACGAAGCGCCTTAGAATAGAGATCTAGATACCTATTACTTACGATGACAATGATAGCCAGATAAGTCTCAAAAAACCCTGCGCACGCAACTGTGATATCGAAGATCCCAATGTTTATTTTTGAGAAATTAGTTCCGCGCTTTCATTCGAGAGACAGCCGTTAACAAAGCAACCTTTGAAAGCCTCTTGTTACCTTGGAAACCCCGTGATAACATAACCTGGAAGTGCAATGAGTATCGCCCTGAAATATGTTTCTCGCGTAGATTGACAGGCCATAGATTGCTTCATCATACGTGACTAGACAATAAGCTCTGCTGTAGCATCGTATATGACAGACTTCAGGAGATTCGTTTTACCCAAGAAGACAGTGGTGACCAATAAACCCTACAAAAGAAAACAATGAGCAGCAATATTGTGAGTAAATCTGTGCAGTAGGTAGTATTACTCGGGTTAGGGCTGATGTAATTTACACCACGTAGCTTTGCCTTCTGTTTAATCTAAGCCACATAAATAATCCCGCAAGTGAGCCGAAATCCATTCGTAGAAGTAATAGATCTCCGGTGCCGTGGAGGGCACATTTCGCCAGGGGTTGACTTTCATTTTGCACTTATGCTAGTCATAAGTTGAACATGACTCAAACCAAGCACATACGACCACAGGGTGTGGAAAGCAGGGCTTCCCGTCCGCTCAGCCGTACTTAAGCCACACGCCGGCCGGTTAGTAGTTGGGTGGGTGACCACCAGCGAATCCCGGCTGTTGTATGTTTTTTTCATCTATTCTATTTTCTTTTTGTTTTTCATTTATTGATAAGTCTTCTACCACCTTTACATTAATTGCTAATGAGACTGAAATGAAGTTCTCTGTACCATAGTCTACAGATTATGACTAATCAGCTTTAAGCCATGCTGCAAATGAAATTGTGCACCACTAACAGTGTTCCCTTGCCTGTAGCGCGTGATGACTCCTGCAGGAGATGCAGTATGTCACAATGTGGCTGTCTGGCTTTGCTGGCGAGGCTGAGTTGATTATGTTAAGGCTAGCCACCGTGGAGTACAGGCCCACATATTAAGAATAAGATAACACTCCCATCCTACTCTGGCCTAGGACACTTATCAAGGAAAGTCATTAACGCCCCCGCGAGATGTCCTTTACAGTGTCTGCACCGGTCATCTAAGGATGTCCTCGTGCTATATGCCTAACAAACTTGGGAGCGAGACAGATGTAGAAAGAGAGCTATTGAATGGAGAAAGTGTCTCCTCAAAATAATATAATCCTTAATACTCATTATTCACAATTGTCATCATACTAGATTGATATTAGGAGAGCAAGAACAAAAGATAATAGAATTGGTTCAGAAGCTAAGCTCAACAGGCAGTCCAGAGGAGCTAATCAGGAAAAGATATTTAAATTCTCCTGTCAAACAAGAGCAGCAATTTAGAAAGTACGGTCCCTCTACTCATCCTTGTCAGTGCTTTCTTCCTCTGTGTGCTCCCACGCTTTCAACACATCGAAGACGCCAGCCTCATCCGTGAATTTCTCAGGTCGTCCAAAATAGTTCGGAAAGAAAATATCTGGCTCAGTGAACAAGAGGGAGGTGTGGAACAATTGAGCTGCATTATGACGAATTCTGAAATCATACCAGGTGTTGCCCTTTGGCAGGAGAGGGCCATATCCGTTAAACTCGATAGGAGGTTCGTCCGGGGCGCTCTCACCAAAGTAGAAGCTCATAAGCAGAGTCCCATCCCGAGCACTTCGCTCATCTGCAATAGCGATAATACTCTGTTCAATAAAGTTGAATTTGACAGGCTGAAGCCACTTGTCTAATGCCCAGTCCTGGCATTCCTCTTTTGAGGCGTTGATGAAATCCGACTGGAAGGATTCACCGTCTTGTAACCTCGTTCTGAGTGCCTCTCCCGTGCTGGGACAGTCTTTCGATTCAACAAGATAGTACAGAAAGGGAGGGTCTTCCGGCTTCGTG